AGAACATGAAGGCCTGGCATGATCGACATTTTTTCTTGGACCCAGGTTGACTTTGGTCGGGGACGTCGATCTCAAGACGTTAAAATGAGCGCTTTGTGGAAGACAACACATGATTTTGCTTTTTCTTGCTTTTCACTTTTTATCGTAAATAAATAGCCCCGCAAATCACACGACATGCGTTATTTTCGGAGAAGAAAACGGGACTCGGAGCCAAGATTTTTTTGAAATTTGGGTTGAAATAAGGCGAAGTGTTGAAAATTTGGGCTAAGTGTAGAAATTAATGAGAAGTGCTTGTGACGACCTGCTCGAAAATATCAACTTGTCAGAACCGAGCCGAGGCCAAAAAAAATAGTTAAGGGAAAAGGGTCGAGAATCGAGCAAAAAGGTGCTTCAAGTTGAGTTGAAAGTTGGGGTTGAAAAACAAGTGAAATATGCCTAAGTATGGATTTTGAACTAAGGGTGCCATCGACCCCCTATTCGCGACCCGACTTGTGATTCGCTGCCTGGGGAACTCAAATTCGCTGTGCGAACCACATTCCGCGACCTCGCGAAGTGCCCAGGCCCTTTTCAGCTCCCTAACACTCGCAACCAGAGTCGCATTCCGCGACCCCGCGAAATCGAGTTCGCGACGCGAACCTCATTTCGCGGTGTCACGAGTTCAGGACTACTGCACCATGCTTTCTTCTGTCTTGCTGCGTCCGCGACCCGAGTTGCATTCCGCAACCACGCAAAACCGCATTCGCGACGCGAACCATTATTCGCGACCCCGCGAAGTGCCCAGGCGCCCCACACCCATGTGCACCACCACCTAGTCGTTTTGAGCCGCTACCGAGCCACATTGAGCCAACGGCCGAACCACCATGCCCCGGCGCAACTGGCGACTGCCGACGATATTTTCCGGCTGCCGGTGAATTTTCCTAAACCGACGAATTTTCTGGCCAAATTTTCCGGTGAACCTCCCGAGCCCCGTTTTCCGTCCGCCGTCGACATTTTCTGGCCAGAAATGACATTTTTTATCTCTCGAGCCGTTGGAGCCACCGGAAACCTTTTTTGCGGCGATTCAATCTTCTACACACATTTTTCTTAGATTTTTCACTCTCTTGGAGCTTGGTCAAGGTTCATTGCCTAATTTTTCTTATTTTTGATACCGAGGTCATTGTTTTACGAGGTATTTCACTTAGACCAACTCGAGTCATTTATATTTGAATTGAGCGTGATTTTATTGATTTGAGAGTGATTTGTATTAAGTGTGGAAGAGGGGCTCGTGAGCATATATTGATCATTTGGAGGAGTTGCGTGGTTGACATTCGATTTTGGAGGCTCGTTTGGAGTTATTGTTGAATATTTTGGGGAATGCGGTACACGTTGGCGTTTGAGTTGAAACTTGTTGTATCACGAGAGTTTGGTTGTTCTTGGAATTTGTGTTGATTTAAGACGGGGAGAACTTCCTTGACTATGTCGGAGACGGGGGCGTGTTGGCGCCTTATTTTGAAATTCTTTATCTTGTGGCGTTTTCGGGTTGTTTTGACATTCATATGTCTTGAAAGTGCTCCTTGATTTGTCTTGTTATATCCTTTGGGGAGCTTTCGGCTTCGACGTGCGGTCCGTTTTGAAATGCTTATGTTCTTTGGAGCCATACGTGGAGCATTGTTTTGTCACTTTCATATTATTTAGAGCTCGAGGAAAGTTCGGGCCAATTTTTTTTATTCCCGCCGGACGAACAACATTTGGATACACGGTGGAACACCACCGTGTAGAGTACACGCATTCTTTTCCTTATTTTCGTTTTCTCTTAGTTCTTTG